AATTGTACGATGCCAAGTAAACCCCAAACATTCATGTCTCGCTGAGGCTTCATCCACTCCGAGATTGCCTCCGAGGAGTCTTCCTGTTCCAAAACCGCCAAGAACAGGTTCTTGATCTTAACAATACCTCCGATTTCTCTGAAATATGACTGGTTCGATGTGTTGAGATTCAACAGATTTGCTAGCAGAGATAGACAATCTTGGACGGTGGTGCTGCCATGGGACAGAGCGCCGTCGCCTTCAATTAGCGTAAAGATGCGATCGAAAGCGTTCTCAAATGCCACAACCTTTTGTAGCTCGGCTGATGTCGGCGTGAGGGCCACAAGCAGCACCAAGGCTTCATTTCGGACGGCTTCTCGACGGTCATCCAACACATTCGTAATCCTCGAGACACCTAGGGGCGCAGCAAAAATGGCTTCTTGAGTTCTCTGCGGCCGCGCCGTAGATATATGTGAGAGGATCTGTAGAACATAAAGCCGTAGGTAGAACTCGTTTGATTCCAAAAGATCCAGTAGCGCCGTGACATTGTCTTGATGTTGTGTGAATTCGTCAGCCAGCCACAGCGTTATCTCTTCTGAAGCCTCCGGAGATTTTTCATCTGGTTCGAAGAGCATCAGAAGGGTCTCCAACACCACTTTGATTGTATCTGAATCGTCTCCATCTCTTCTAAGGCCTGCTATGAGGTCCCGGAGCGCTCCAGACGCAACTGACGCAGGGTAGAGTTTTGCAAAGCTTCTCAATCCCAATATGGCAGCCCGCCGATCTTCAAGTAGTGTTGCACTCGATAATCGGTTACTTAGTGTCTGGATGGTATCGGTAGCGGTCTGCCGTGCAGGTGCCTGGGCTTCAAGTATTCGCATCATCTTGGAAGAGGATTTCGCGCTACCGTGTAGGCCGTCATCGTGAAGTGATAAATGCCGGCATATTTGTGGTAGGCCTCTGGAGTCTGTTGCGCCTATCTCGTACTCAGGTTTGTGAAGTAGGGATCAATTCGTTAGTTTCCAAAGTGTCCTTTTGTGTTAGGAAGCCCTCTTGTAGGATCGCGTCGCCGTACAGCCTTGTCCAAATGCACGTGATACTGCAAGGCTGTGGCACTAGGACTCGGTCTTTGCTAGTTGCTGCCAAGCCTGCGCCTCTTTGAAGTTCTCGGGTCGAGAGAGCGCGCAGATTTCAAGGCATCCTCCAATCGAGATCAACTCCCTCACGCTCATCCTCATAATCCTTCTCGCAACAATGCGCCGGTGCATATAGCTGCCGACCCGCAGATCTCAGCCTGATACTGTCTGTGCCAGAAGCATAGTTCTCGTGTCCAGACTCGGGCGCAGTTGTTCCAACCCTACGACTTGCGCTCAGCTTTGTCGAAGTTGATTCTTTCTTCGTTCTCGTCAAGCCAGTTTTCATACTCTTAGGATCATCATACCGGCCCTAGATTATCATGGGTGTCCCGGCGCTGTTCAGATGGCTTACCAAGAAGTATCCTAAAATCATTACGCCCGTCATCGAGGAGCAACCTTATGAAATTGATGGCGTGCAATATCCCGTGGACACTACGAAGCCCAACCCTAATGGCGAGGAATTGCACAATTTGTATCTCGATTTCAATGGTATTGTTCATCCCTGTTCTCACCCAGAGAACAAGCCGCCCCCAGCCAATGAAAGTGAAATGATGCTGGAGATCTTTAAATACACTGAGCGAGTGGTGAACATGGTCCGTCCGCGCAGATTGCTCATGATCGCAATAGGTATGTTTCCTTGGACTTTCTGGACATTGCAAGTACTGACGTGGATATAGATGGAGTCGCCCCTCGTGCGAAAATGAACCAGCAACGTGCTCGTCGTTTCAGGTCAGCGCGCGATGCAAAAGAGGCGGATGAAAAGAAAGCAGAATTTCAGACACTGCTTCGTCAACAAAAGCAAGATAGGGACGAAGACAGCGAGTCATCGGCCGAAGAAGTAATCAAGAAAACATGGGATAGTAATGTCATCACACCTGGCACACCTTTCATGTTCATCCTTGCGCAATCTATTCGCTACTGGGTCCAATGGAAACTCAACACTGATCCTGCCTGGGCTGAATTGAAGATCATAATCTCAGATGCCAGTGTACCAGGTGAGGGTGAACACAAGATCATGCAGTTCATACGTTCTCAGCGCTCTGATCCTGAGTATGATCCCAATACTCGACACGTCATGTATGGACTTGATGCAGACTTGATCATGCTCGGGCTTGCCACGCATGAACCGCATTTTCGTGTGCTTCGAGAAGATGTCAACGTCAGAGATGCCAAGGCAAAGACCTGCAAGCTTTGCGGCCAGCAGGGCCATTATGCAGAGAATTGCAGAGGTAATGCAAAGGCCAAGTCGGGCGAGTTTGACGAAAAGGGCACCACCGAGGAATTGAAGCCTTTCGTCTGGTTGAATGTCCCTATCTTGCGTGAGTACTTGGCTGCAGAAATGTTTGTACCCGGTCAATCTTTCCGTTTCGACCTTGAACGCGCCCTTGACGATTGGGTTTTCATGTGCTTTTTCGTTGGCAACGACTTTCTCCCTCACCTGCCTAGTCTGGATATTCATGAAGATGGTATCGACAAATTAATTGCTATCTGGAGAGATAACATCCCAGTCATGGGCGGGTATTTGACTTGCGATGGAAACGTGGATCTTGCTCGAGCCCAGATCATTCTCCAAGGACTTGCGAAACAGGAAGATGCTATTTTCAAGCGCAGGAAAGAGATGGAAGACAGACGAGAGCGTAACCAACGACGCCGAGACCAAGACAACAAGGCCCGAGACGCCAGGGAGGCTGCGCGAAACCCTAAGAAACGCCGCAGTTCGCCTGATTACAGCCTAGGCGGTCGGATCCCTGCCAGAGTTGATGCACGTGTTCCTACTGGACCAATTGACGCCATCGAAGCCACAAGCTATCCCATGCTTAACTACAATGCAATTGTCAACAGAACCTCCGTGGACAAGACACAGGCCTCAAACAAGAGTGCAGCAGCAGTTCTTAAGGAGCAAATGCTTGCTAAGAAAGCCGCCGAGACTGCAAGTACGAATGGCAATATCAACCCCAGCAATGGTCCCGGTTCCGCCGAAACAACGCCTACGTCTGCATTAGGAAAACGGAAAGCCGAATTGATAGAAGCCGAGTCCGACGACAGTGGTACACCTGGACGGAACACACCCGTGGAAAAAGCTCCAACTAGTGCCGACCCCAACGATCCGCCCCCGGATACTGTGCGACTCTGGGAATCTGGCTATGCTGAACGTTATTACGAGCAGAAATTTCACGTTTCACCGGACGATTTTGAATTCCGACACAAAGTTGCCAGATCTTACGTGGAAGGCTTGTGTTGGGTGCTGCTTTACTATTTTCAGGGCTGCCCCTCATGGACATGGTATTATCCCTATCACTATGCACCGTTCGCAGCCGATTTTGTGGACATTGACAAGATGACCGTCAAATTCGACAAAGGAAAGCCTTTCAAGCCTTACGAACAACTCATGGGTGTCTTGCCCGCCTCATCAAACCACGCCATCCCTAAGGCTTTCCATCCACTCATGACTGACGAAGACTCCGACATTGTTGATTTCTACCCAGAAGAGTTCGACCTTGACTTGAACGGGAAGAAACAATCCTGGAAAGCTATCGTGCTCCTACCGTTCATTGATGAGAAGCGACTTCTGAACGCAATGGCCACCAAATATCCTCTCCTCACAGAAGACGAGCGGATTAGGAATGAGCTTGGCAAGGAAGCTTTAATCATCTCCCACAGGCATCCTCTGTATGAAGAATTGGCCTTACAATTCTATTCCAAAAAAGCCAAGGATGGCAGCGTCGTCAAGCTTTCCATGAAGAAGGGAAAACTAGCTGGCACCGCAATGAAGAACGACGACTTCTTGCCACACATGGATTTGATCGGTCCAGAAGAAGACATCAAGCTGGAACCCATTGTTGACGACGACCATTCATTAATGGTTCACTATTCAGCGCCGCCTGCTACTCATGTGCATAAGTCCATGTTGTTTCCAGGGGTCGTGTTGCCTCCTCCGGTGCTGGACAAGAGTGATCTTGCCATCTTGAGATCCAAGGCAAGAAATTCCGGCCGCGATTTTGGAGGCGCACCTCTTTACGATAACTCTAGACGTGACCCAAATGATCACCAAAACCGAGGAGGACGGATCAACTATGCTGTAGACCGGTCTTACCCTGGTGCGAACCAAGCAGACACTAACAGTGACAACCCGTTCGCAGCGTTGCTTGATCCTCGGTACGCACCACAAGGACGTGGCGGGCCTCCTCCGCCTCCGCCTCACTATCAGAATGGATATCAAAATGGTTATGATCGATATCAAGCTCCTGCCAACAACTATGGCAGCTACGGCGGCGGTCAACCCAACTACCAAAACTACCAGAATTCGGCTCGTGGTGGCCAGGACCAACATAATTACGGAAACCAAGGTCAGAGGCAAAATCACGGCTACTATCAATCTCAAGGGCAGGGTCAACGCGGAGGGGGTAATTACAATCAGGGATATGGTCGGAGGTGATGGTCACACAAGATGATACCTTGTCTCATATGGTAAATGATGGGCTGCAGGATGGCAGTTAATTGTGTATATTAGCCAGTACTGCTCACTGAGACACGCATCACGAGTATTGCTGGCTTGCAGTCTTGCGAGCGAGGTGCCCTCGCGATTCTTGTAAAAGTAGCTATCGATTGCCGAGTATTCATTCCACATCCATCAAGCCTTCATAGAGGTATTTCCTTGCTCTCTCACGTTTAAGCCTTTTTCCTCTGATACGTAGTCCAATAAGCCCTTTAACCAACGCATGTCTAAGTAGAAAGTCAAAAGCTTCTGAGCTACGGAGTACGCAGCACGCAGTTCAGTTGCTCCATTTTTATTGTAATATTCTAACTTCGGTGTCTCTATAACGACACGAAGGCCAACTTCACAAAGGGAAAAAAAGAGAATTTCGGCCAAAGATACAAAAAATTCGATGGTGATGGGACTCGAACCCACAGTCTTTGCCATGCTCCAAAGCACCGGAAAGCAACGCCTTACCATTAGGCCACACCATCGGCTTATGTCAGCATTCTGCGGCATTTCCAGTGCCGCAGATGTGTGTGCAATTCGTGGACGAAATCAGACAAGAATTTCTCGGGAAGAGATTATATTGTGTCGACTATTTTGCCGGCGCCCCCTCACGGTTCTCCTGGTGCGGAGATATTTTTTTCTTCGTCATACTCCTGACATCTCGTGTTTTGCGAAAATGAGTTTACGCAGGAAAGCTGGCGCGAAGTCAACGAAGCCATGTCCCGGCGAGTGCTCAATCCCAGAGCCTTCTTGCTTCAGTGCAGGAGAAGCTATGCCACATCTGTTGATCCACCGAGAGCTGCAACCGCACCTAAGCAGCACCCTCAACTTAGTCAGATCCGGAACAATGTCGAGCTCTACGAAAGCAACACACTGGCGCGAAACTACCGCACACACAGAACAGTACCACGGCAAGTCGCCAAAAATCTCTGGCGCATGCAGGAGCTTGACCGGCGGATGAACGAGCCAAGACGGAGGTTAAAAGACCTGCAAAAGACGCTGAATGCTAGCAAGGGAGACAAGTCCGATCTTGTCGCGCAGATGAAGGCGGTCAAACAAGAAATAGCAAAGCTGGAAGACGAGCATGGCGACCTGGCCGATGCAACCGACACCCTGGCTCTATCTTTACCCAATCTGACCTCCGACGAGACTCCTCTCGACAATGAGCCGAAGCTGCGCACCTATATCAACTACGACCCAGGAAACCCTCCGACCTACAGCAGTTCGGCGGACCATTCTATCATTGGAGACAAACTCAAACTCCTCAACTTCACCTCGGCATCTACGGCCTCAGGATGGGGATTTTATTATCTCTTGAACGAAGCAGCCTTGCTGGAGCAGGCTCTGGTTCAATACGCGCTGGCGGTCGCGATGAAACATGGCTGGTCCGTTGTGGCTCCTCCTTCTGTCGTGTACTCGCATATGGCTGCATCTTGCGGGTTCCAGCCGCGGGATCAGAATGATGAACAACAGATATGGCAGGTGGCGCAATCAGAAAGAGACGCTGGAAAACCCACGCGGAGCTTGGCCGCGACAGCAGAGATTCCCTTGGCAGCCATGTATGCTAGCAGACTTATACAGGAGGAGGACCTCCCCGTCAAACTCGTCGGGTCAAGTCGGTGTTTTCGTGCGGAAGCCGGTGCGCGTGGGGTGGACACAAAGGGCCTTTATCGGGTGCACGAGTTCACCAAGGTGGAAATGTTCGCATGGACCAACTGTCCAGCGACCGGGAGTGAGGTTTGGGAGGAGAGCATGTGGACGAGGGACTCGAGAAGGACATTTAACGAGATGCTCGACATCCAGACCGAGATATTGTCCTCGCTGGGCCTCCCGTGTCGAGTTCTGGAGATGCCTTCGTCGGATCTGGGTGCCAGTGCGTATCGCAAAATCGACATCGAAGCCATGTTTCCGTCACGCAAGAACAGAGACGATGGCTGGGGCGAGGTCACCTCTGTGTCCATTTGTACGGATTACCAGAGTCGACGATTGGACACGAGGATCCAAGAGGCGAACGGATCAAGAAGGAAGTTTCCACACACTGTCAACGGCACCGCGCTCGCCGTTCCGAGAGTCCTTGCAGCCATTCTGGAGAATGGGTGGCGTGAACAGGAAGGGTGCGTGGTGATCCCCGAAGTACTTCGAGGCTACATGGGTGGTATGGGACGGATTGGACCACGTTGAGAATAGACACCATATTATTCCTCACTTTCGTTCTCAATTCCGAGAGTGCTTTGAAATCTCGTCTGGGAATAAAGTCTACATAGGCTCTTGGATTTGATGCTCCGTGGATCTCCGACTTGAAGAATTATGACGCCCACCAGGTCGTCATAGCTGGCGCCATCACTTTGATCGGTCGTCATCTAAACAACGAAAGCTGACATATCCAGCCTGATTGAATTCCTACCGTGTCAAGCTAATATGGAAGAAAGCCGCCGTTCACACACCCATATATGAATGGCTATGCTTCTTCTACATTGGTATATCTAATATACGGCGAGGAATCCTCGACACCAATTTTCATTTTCAACAAGAAGTCTCGAGTCGACTCAATCTATCTCGTCTTTGACCCACCATGACTTCTCCTGCTCCTGCTTCGTCGCCGTCTGCGAAGATTCTGGGCGACATTAACGAAATATGCATCGTGACGCCCGACATTTACAAGACTATCGACGGGCTGACAAAGCTCGGTGTTGGCCCTTTTCAGATTTACGAATTCAACTCCACGACCGTACCCAGGCAGGAACTGTACGGGAAACGAGGCACGGACCTGTTCCGAATCAAAGTCGCGTTTGCGAAACAGAACTCCCTGGTGGTCGAGCTCATGCAGCCTTTGCCCGGCGGCGGGAGTGAGCGGTCTCTGATGCAACGATACCTGGACAACAACGGCGGCAGGGAAGGAGTCCAGCACATCGCCTGGGATATGGGCGGGATAACCATGGCGCAGAGACTCAATGAAATGAAGGAAAGAGGCTTCGAGCTGGCGATGCAAGGGTGGTGGATGGGGAAAAGGGGACAATGTCATTTTTGTTTTTTTGATACGCTCGAAAAGGGCGTGGGCACGGTCTTTGAAACGATCGAGTTCAGTCAAGACTGGGAGGATCCAGACTGCGAGTGGTACCCTCGGCAGTCTCTTCAGTGAAAGGGGCTTTGAGAGTAAGAGAAAAAGACGAAAAGATATCCCGAGTAGTAAATATTTTGCTGAGTTGTACATAACACAAGGAGAGAATGGTCCGGTGCCAGCACCAATATCAGACACTGACCCGCGTGACATTGTTTCTTCACATCCCAAGTAGGTACATTGGATCATGCCCTGGGAATTTCACCTTGCACATGCATGGGTAATTCCCCGTTAGACGCCTTCACCACGTCTTCAAACCTGTATGAATCAATAAGAATTGGCCAAAAGTCAAGTCGGATCAGGGAGTGTGATGCAATAAAACTGTTGTAACGTACGCTGACTGGAACATGATGTAAACCATCTCATCATTATACGTGTTCCGCGTATATTCGGCCTCTTCGTGTCCGACCTTGATGGTCGTACTTCCCCTTCCAGCACACGCCGCGTCCGCGAGGAGTTGGGCCTGGATACACCTGTCCATGGCACCGAAGAGGAAAGCGGCACCGTCGACCGTCTTCGCGACGGTCAAGTGGCCGTGGTTCTGGAGGATGACACCTTTTGTGCCACCTAACGCTTGAGCAATGTGTTTACCCTCGTCTTCCTTGAACACGATCCCGCCGAAGCCAGAGTACACACCGTGGTCGTTGTAGAACCTACGACATGGTCAGATATTTCGGCTCAACTTGACCGTTTCGCCAGTGACCATGTCTTTGATGAGACATCAACGAGTAAAGGAGAGAGAAAACTTTGATGGTTCAAGACGTTGGAAAAGGTCATGAGACAGGAGAGACTGCGAGAGACATACCTGCACGCATCCTGGTTGATGGGTTCAAGTTGACATCCTATGGCGGAAAAGGCCTTGCTGGGCACGCTGTGGCAATGGACCGCGGCAACGACGTCCGGTCGCGCTTCGTGGACGGCCGAGTGGATGATGTACCCCGCGGGGTTGATCGAGTGCATGTTCCCACCCTCCTTGACCTCGCCGTCCTTGCTGACCAGGCAGAGATCCTCGGGCCTCATGTGGCTGAACGACTTGCCGTGAGGGTTGATCCAGAAGTGGTCCGGCATGATGGGGTCGCGGACCGTGACGTGTCCGCCCGCGCCTTCGTTGTTGTACCCCTGGTAACCGAGCCACCTCAAGGCGGCGGCGTGGTGGAGTTTGCGGTGCGCCCGCTCGGCTTCGAGGGATTCGAATTTAGGGATGCGGATGCGATGCACGGGTTTGGCGTTGGGCCCGCCGACCTTCATGTACGCGCCATAGGTAAACTCCGTAGATGGCGGCGGCGACGCCCTGTTGTTGTCGCCGGTGACGGTGTTGGAGGATGCCACAGACGCCGGAGCGGTCTTTGACGTCGATATCGAACGCTTGAGTGTGTTGTATAGAAGAGGAGAGGTCGGAGGACCAGCAGAGGTGTACCGCGGCGTTCGGCCGGACAGGTTGAGGCTGGCACTGCGTAGAGGACTACTGAGTCGAGGTATCCGGAAAGCCATTCTGAGGGAGTGTATGTGGTCGCTTTCTAGGCGCTATTTTATGTGCCTCTCTTCGATCAAAAGTCAAAGTTCGTTCCTTCTGATCCAAGCCAAATTGTACCGTTCACAATCAGTGAATAGTACCCTCGGGTAATACATCAACACTCCTCACATGTACTCCGTACATCGTTGATCTATAGAGTCGTTGCGGGGAAATCCCCAAATCACACTTTGCGTTCTAGGCGGCTCGGGCCGTTTTTGGACTTAGTCGCGGGGGAGGTGTAATGCTTCTTTTGATGGCTATTAAGAACTCATGTCTCCCAATCCCAACCCATCTCACTCTCTTCTAATCGAATAAACCAACTGGTATTTGACATCCCGTTTCGCCCTGAGATATTTTCTCAAGGATAATTAAGTCTTCCAAGTTTGGTCGTAGTATGGACGACCAAGAGGGTAAAGCCGTCTTGATGTCCATGCCAGTGTACTAGAGGTAAACAGCTCTCCAGGTCGGTCATTGATAGATGCCTACTTCCTCATCTAGCAAAGACCACTTGTATGCGTACAAGGCATATCAAGGGAAGAGTCAAGATGGAATGCTACTAGGCGCAGATCTCCACATATTGGGTCATCGGAATGGACAGCCCTTGAGAGTCCCAATATCTCTTCCGCGAATCGTCCATGTCACCCTCCAAAGTATAATGGAGCTCCTATAAGCTGTGTCCCACCCATTGAATTTCGAGACCAAGTGATTGTTAATGATTCGAGATGAAGAGCCGTCTTAACCCATTATTACAATACAGTATTCGCACATCACGACGGCATTGGCAACTAGATCTGGTTTGCCAAAGCCTTTTTCCAGATATCGAAAGGACCAAAGAATCCTGAGAATTATCGTTT